AGACTCTGTATAGAGACGGATTTGCCACTTAGATGACACAGACAAATGCGGATTGTGGCCTGAACAATGCGACTTTTGCACTTTTGTGTCTATCCTAATAAAGGTGGCGATGTTCTCACATGCGTAATAACACATTTGTATGAGAAATTCGGGTACCATTCATTTACTATCAGATACTTGCCAACAAATGTTTAGATAGCCTTAATAGATGTGAGCTGATCTAATATGTAGCTGTAGCTAGTATATGTAGTCACATTCCAAGCTTTACATTTATTATTGTTGGCAGTGATAAATTAATTAGGACAGAAACTATATTCAAATCGCGTTGCTTGAGATTATACCATCTAGTGGCAATTAGCCTCTTTTTATTATAAACAAGAAGAAAATATGGTTTATTCGTCGTTTACTCTACATAATAAGTTCATATTATCTTAATTTATTAAGATTATTATTTATAATTATCATTACTAATTTACTATATTAAGTTAATATATTTATTGTCAATTCTTTTCAGAAAGTTTTTTGTGTGAGAGAGGGGAACATCATTCCAATTGATTCAAACACTACCACTAGTGATGGTAGGGTTGTAAAGTTTGTTATATTTCTTTGTGATTAATGTCGTGGATTTTCGGCGTCTTCCTGGTATTGTCGGAATTAGGTGGGGCATTGGTCTGGTATGTGAAGGCCTACCCTTGATACTTTTCATGTCCAGTAAATCCCCTGGCTGCCCTTAATAAAATATTAACATGAGCACAAGACCATGTGTGGAAGGGAATTCAACTTCGTTTATAGCTTTTGCATTGTGCACTTTACATGCAATTGTAGCTTCCAAATAAGAGTCTCTGTTTGTGTTTTAATGGAATCCTTGATTGGGCGGATATGAGCCAAAAAGTTGTATATGGCCTCAAATCATGCAGCCCCTCGCGCAAAACCTGGAAATACTATGGAAAGTCTATTATAGCCTGATTAATCATTCTTGTTGTTGCCTATTTTTAAGGGAGCAGAAACTTTCCTGATATCAGGATGAATGGAACTCTGTTTATTCTCCCACTATGGATATATACATCTATAATTACAGGTAATATAATACTACCATATATAATGCTTGCCATTAGATGCATTGAGTCTTATATAAGGATGAAGAAATTGCGTTTCAGTGATGCAAAAAGCACCTGGGGAATTTACAAATTTTTTTATTTTCTTTAGACAGGTTTTTCTCAACTTAATTAAGTAGCTCCCACTCTTGGTAACTTCCCAGAAGGTGGGCAAACAACATTTCGGAGACTAACTAGTTATTTGCTAATTAGTGTCTTATGACTATTGCTATCCCACATAGCTAGTGAAAATGACATCAGATCTTAATACCTATTCTAGCTGAAAATTGGGAGTGAATTTAACACCAAAACATTTAATCATAATTGCGTTCACTAGACTCAGTTGCATGTTCGTCATTAAATATATCTTGTGGTATAATTTAATCATAACCATCTATATCTGGCTGGAGTACTTTGCTGCTATAAATATTAATTACATTGAATTTGTTTAGCGCTGGAAATAAAGACTTTGCTGCAGTGAAAAAGGTATTAATGACGGAGGTTAAATTCAGCAGGTGAAACAGATCAGTGATAACCTATTAGATCTTGTATCTACGTTAATATTAGTTTTCGTTTCCAATGTGATTTTTTTCAAAGGTGTTGTTGCCTAAAATGTTGAACTATGGCTGCTTCTTGTTTCATAGCTAAATCTAATCATAGATTTATTTAACAAATTAATATTTTGCGGAACTACATAAATAGTGAAGGCACTACTATTGCCGTTAAAAAGCCTTATGAAATCGTTCCACGTATAAGATCTTTATCTCGAAACCAAATTGTCTAAGTCAGAAAGGAGAGAAAAATGGTTCTAGCGATATTGTTTAGATAAACATGTAAACTTTACCAGTGGCTGTTTGTGAGTTTCATAAAGACAATGATCGGTGCTGTTAGTCCATTGCCTGCGGCGCTTCCAGCTGCATTTGAGGCACGACTTTAAGATGTAGTTCTAACCACTACGGTATGTGATATATCCATATCTTACCTAAGAATGTCTTATATTTTATAAATTATATGCATGTTTTGCCATATACTTCACTGAATTACTTTGGTATCGTTATTGTTTCTGTTTAGGGTTCTGACAGTGTTGGCATGGGCAGGTGTGCGTCACCTTTTGTCAGTTGGACGCCACGCTCATATACATATGATATATCATTATGAGGAGCTGTGCAATGGAGTCAGTTATGCCTCTCAAAAATTTGATAAGTTATATTGCACGTTTTAACGTGTCATACGCATGTTTACTCTGAGTAGAAATCACTGTTTTCAACATGGGTCACACATTTGTTCTTGTGTTCGAAATCTTGACTATAGTGCTGCATTGATCTAGTGATTTAACACAGACATGCTGGATCTGGCTTCGCAGTGTGTGTTAGTCCTGCCATGTGCAGTTGCTGTTCAATATTGCACTTCTACTAGCAACATATGACTGCCATTTAATGATTTGTTTCCTGTACTTCCTATCTTTTTGCAGGTATTGTTATGAAGCTGTATTGTGAGTAGAGGAATTGTCGCTATCCTCTTGACATTGGCATAGATAGTGTTAAGTGGTACAAGTGCACACACTATTTCGAATTCATATTTGAAAAAGCTATTACTAGATGTATTAAAGTTGCATATTAGTTATCCATCAAATTGTGAAATTCCGATATTTGATATTTTCATTTGTGAATCGAATAATGGACTGAGAATGAAATATTGACCCAATGGCTGAATTCATTCACTTGCCATCAGGTTGTTCCACATGTCTGCCTCCTAGGCTTCAAAGTCTGGCTTGCGAACTAAATATTGCATGTGAAAAATAAATAAGAAAATAATTAAATAAATAAAGCTTAAATAGTTTATGGAGAACATTGTCTACCTAGTAATAAAATTGCACGTTAACAACTCTTCATTTAATTTTCACAGGATGCCGCTGTCAGTGTTGGCGACGCACGTCTATGATCATGCTGAGACAGTGGAATGATTTACTCTGTGACGGATTTCTACACTGATAGAAGAATTTTTGTCAGGGTGCATAAGGTACATGTGGGTGAGGATGTAGCTGCGTTCACACGAGGATTTTCAGTTCGTACTGAGCGTTCCACGCCGTAAAAATATCAAGACTTATATGGCCGGCTTAGCAAGTACGGCTACTGAAATACGTAGGCTTACTCGGCGCAGAACAGTGATTCGCCCGCTGAAACATTCGCACCCGCTGGCCGCTATTTCGTCTGTCGTGTGAACGCAATTGGAGGCCTACTTCTGTAGTGCGCTTACCTAGACGGTACCCGTTTTGCTACACGACATTTAGTGAGCGTTGTGGAACTGTCGACCAGGTACAGTCTATATTATACTAGCCAGCTAAGCCTCGATGTCTCGTGCTTCGGGTTTGTTAGCCGCGTATTCTCAGCCGACTTCAAGCCACCAGATAAAGTACGGACCGCGAGGCCGTGTATCTCATGTGAACGCAGCTAGTGTGGTGTTGCTGGAAACTGCTACTGTGTGATTGTTATGTACTAATATAATATTATAGTCGGTGCGAATAAATTAACAGGAAGTCCGGAAGTCAAATACTCACGAGATTTACTTGTCCGACGTCCCTGTTTGACGTAATGCAGGGTCCGTGTGACTCCCTGAAAATTCTGCCATATCTACATAGTAGTCATTCAGAGCACAGCTCGTGGAAATACCGGTATTTTTTCAAGCTAATATCCAAAGAAATTTGACAAGACGTGCAACGCAATGATAAGCCACTGCGTTATTGTTATTATCTTTAATTTTGCAACCATCAGACTCGGGGACATCCCTCTTTGCTGCGGACTCCCTTATTTTGCTGCGGACGCTCCCTTCTTTTGAGGGTAGGGAGTCCCGTATTGGAAATCCGTGTTCAAAAAGTATCATTCTAAACCCCTGTATATGTATATATGTTATCAGAGCTTATACATACCTAGAGTGTACAACGGAAAAACGGAAAAGTGCTATTCCCGGCAATATTATTCTACTTTGCCTGCGAGCTAGGAATAATTTTATGCCTATTGCATTAGCAGCAATTCTTTGCTCCTCTAAACAACAAGACCAACGCAACCGCTTGTCAATACGATACTCCTAGGCTGAGATATTGGCTCGTAAACTTCCCCTCCCACAGGCCTCATGGCGCCTCGCATCCACAATAATTGATGTCACATGCCCAAATTTGGTACTCTTACTACACCATATAGTAACTGAGCTGCGTTGTAAAGACTTAATTTAGAAAACATTGCCGGCTCTATCATGAAGGGCATCAGCCGTGCTAGGAAAGATAATGGGAGATAAGGACATAGGCGATGCTCCCGAAAGTCACCGATGATAACAGAAACGCCGTTCATTCATAAAGTTATCGCGGAAGAAACCGAACTCTCACGAAGCGACTTTCCTATAACCCGCAAAATGCAAGAAGGATAGTGAATATTGTGGATGCGAGGCGTTACTCATATTCAATAATTTCTTTAAAAGAACACTCGTATATAAAATAAAGCTACTCGTATATAAATAGAAAGTATCTATAATGTTAAGTTTCAATAAATTTATGAACATGGTAGAGTATGCAGATGTTAATGGTATCATGAATAGCTCGTAAATACACGAGTAGTACGAGTAGATACATCAGTAATTCTGATTCCTTGGTAACATTCATATAGTTTATTTGCAATCTGTGATTCAAGAGTGTCTAAGAGAATCAAGGGACAAATTTAAAGTAAAGAAAAATATACTGTCTTGTTTTGCATTGGCCTTTTGAGTTCTTTAACATAACCCTGTACAGTTAAATGTCGGGGGCATGATGCTTGGCTTTGTACTGGCTATTGCTTAGATGTTGAATATTGTGGCATGCTTATAGCAATTGCACTCTTGAAAGCTGAATGTGCATTTTCACTTGATGTATGTTTGCAGCCAACTTGTGAAGATAATTATACTGACTCCTGCGAGTGATGGTCATGCCTTCCTACAAGTACATTCATTCCCAGACTTTGAGCTGGTGTACTCATTGAAAGTCGGATGCTCCACCACACTCGTACAATCCAACGTTGATCAGGTATCGTAATATCATTTGCTTCTATTGCAAGAACAAATGCTTACTATAGCTGGGCTGTTGGGTATGCCAGATGTTCAATTTTTATAGTAAGATATCATTGCTATGCAGATGACAGAACCATCACACCGTAGCGTCTGTGATTTGGGTTGCTCACTATAGGCCCTATGATGTTTATGTTGTAGGAGGAGATCATATTTGTAGAGGGTGTTGCAGAAGATGGGGCAGACGTGCCTTCATGTCTTCGCGTGAGGCTGCTCACCGAAGCTCTACCGCAGACCCGTCTTGTTCGACTCCTACAGAGGCACAAGTTTGATGAAGCCCTTCGATTTGTGAACCAGTTCCGTCTGGATCCCCAGGTAAAATCCAAACAGGTGGTGACGCGACGCATTGCACAAATATGCATGCTTTGTTTGTCATACAACACCAACCAGTATTCTGTTTGTGCATGACACTTACAGAATGTGCTACTGCTATTGCCATCCATCCTGTTCAGCTGAATTGTAACTATTGGCATCTGATACAAAGTATTGACAAATAACCCATTAATCAATATGTCTAATTCGTTATTCTTGGTTATAATTGGTTATTAGTAAAATATTGATGTTGGTTCCACTAAACTCGGTTAATCTATTCTAGAGAGTTCACCAAGCTAGAGCACAGTGGCTGCTGAATGAAGGTGACTACACTGCTCTGATAACCTGTCTTGATCTTATTCACAGCAAGTTTCAGGTAAGACTCACAAGAAAGATGTTTTTGAAGGCAGGCAGTATTTATCCATGCTCAATATTTCACAAAGGTAGCCAGTGAACCTCGCTTTCGTCAAATTGAATCGTGCATAATTGGGGGAAAATTAGGAAGTAGTATGCTTACTCGTCATACAATATGTCCTCGGCATTATATTGGTTGTAAGACGGTCGACAGGTTGACTAACAAGAGCTAAGTTTCTAGAGCTGTTTAGCACAAGCTAGATACTATGCTGCCATTGCCTGTGTAGGTATTGAGGGAGCCTGTACATGCTTTCTTGTTCTATATCATATGTAAAGTGTTATTTTTCTACACGAGGACTTAGATTTTACACACCACTTCCCCAGGTTGTTGATTTGTGTGTAATGGCAACACCTTCGGACTTCCAAGTAATGCTAAAGCTACTACTGTATGCTAAGGCTAAGCTCTGTGACAACAACAACGAAGACAGTGCTAAAGATACTAATACGCAAAGCCTGCTTGTTGAGGTAATTTTTGTGCATTTAAGGATTAGGTGGTGAATGTTTGAAAAAAAAATTGGGATTTAAATTGACTACGTCACGAATTTTCTATGGTGTATATTTGTTAAAAAAAATTGTTTCCAATTTTTTTACATGAAAAGTAAGTACTAACGGCACTAAATGTATATCCCCAATTTCTTACCTGATAAGCTTGTTTTTCAACTAGTTAAAAATCCAAAAAATCTAGGCGATTTGATATATTGATCATGACATTAAATGCTTTTTATAGGCTATGTATAAGTCACGAGTGTTTGTTCACATCGAACGGAATAACAAAATAGGAAGTGTAATGCAACAATTTAACCATAAAAAGTGAACAGGATCACTTACATTTTGTGAAAACGAGGACATTTTTTTTTACTTTTACTAATCTCCTCATTAGCTCGTGCAAAATTGTTGTGCAAAGTTTCTGGCTGGTTTACTGCAAACTATGTCACGGGCGCATCTTGTTAAAGCGTCTCCCAGGCCATTGTAGTGTCCTCGTTGGCTTCCAAGGTAAGTTTCTACAAAATCCCTTTCAATACTGATGAGCTGGGCATGGCAAGCTATATATCATCATGGCACTAGGCATCGTTATATTATCTATATGCAGTATAGGAAGACACTATTTCTGTTTCTCACATGCTCTGTTACATGTGCTGTCATGTAGTGTGAGTTATCCAAGGTGACTATCTATTTTACGAATATTCCTGTACAATCCTGTGTACAATCCTGAGTTATTACCATCCTAAAATAATAACCTTACATCTTTGCTTTAATAAATATCCAATAACCTCTGGTCTAGGTACTATATGTGTGCACTATGCGTGCACATGTATATATATTTATTTATTTATTTATTTATTTATTTAATTATTTATGTTGTTCCAGGCACTACAATTTCTTCAAAGATTAGAAACATTTGCAGTAGCATATGGCGAGCAGAGCTTCAGCTCATCTCGGTGGAGTGCATTTACACAGGCAAACATGTTGCAAGAGTTTATCGGAAACATCGTGAAGGGCCAGACTGCGACAGCCTTTGTCATATGGGGACGCCACAATTACGAGTTTGTGGATGATATCACTGAAGATCTATTAGATGAAATTCTGAGCTCCTTCCCATATGACGTGCCCATGAGTCACTTACAGGTACATTTGGGATGCTAAGAGCAATCGTTTAGACTTTACTTTTGTTTACTTTTATTTTCCACGCTGACACTAACATTAAAACACTTCATACACCCACATCACCTGTACTGAAGCTACCTAGATGTATTTATTCTAAGACTATACTAGATACCAACACTGCATGGGTTTAGAGGAGGTGAAGAAGGTAGGGAAGGGGGAGAAAGTGGAGGAGTAGTTGAAGATGCTGTAGAGAGTGGGAGAAGGTAGAGATGAGAAAGAATGTAGAAGTGATAAAAGTAACGGTAGCCGAGGAGATAGAAGATGGACTAAAGGTAATGGTAATAAATGGGAAAATGTGTCACATTACACACAGCACATCAACACATTACATTATCACATACAATATATTTCTATATTTTGAAATGACTTTGTTTGACTTGCAATTCAATGAACTTGAAAATTACTTTAATATATATATATATATATA